GTATCAGATACGTTTAGATTGTAAGGTGCACAGGTGTCGTACCTTTTGACTTTCGAATCTCTGGTATTGCTCGTATGTTATGTGTCCAGGTTCACCTTTGTGAACTTGTTCCTTATTTTTCTAACGCAGCATTCGGTGCTGTGCTAGATCTGAGCTATACCTAGTCTAATGTTACACCCGGTTTCGATTTTATGCAAAAAAAAGAAAAAAAATCGTGCAAACAGATTCCGAAGAGATCTCGAGACGTTAGCGAGTGTTTTGTAACGCGAGGCAGGCGCGTGACGAGAAACGTTGGAAATAAGAGCACTCTTGCGTTCGAAACGACTCGCGAAGCGGATTCGACGTCTCGATTCGTCGAAGCGTTGATTGTCAGCCTTCTAATATCGCATTACGTAAATAATGGCTAATAATCGCTTCGAATATCATTGGGAATGAAAGAATATCTGAAAAAATGTGTAGAAAGACTTGGAAGGAATATCGAGAGAAGTGTCGAGTGCGCACCTCTAACTGCGAGAAAACGCGAGTTCTTGTCTCGAATCTCCCCTGGTAATTGAATCTAACCGTCCCGTCTCTTTCTGTTATTATCATTATTACGTGTCACCTTGTCGCCGTTTGTAATCACTGCGATTACCTTCGTTCGGTTTATTGATTTCCATCGCCTCGAGGACGAAAGGAAATTCCATCTGCTCGAGGATACGCTTAACGCCAGACACTTAACCCTTTGCCTCGTGATTTCTTTCCTGACCGCGCCAATCTACGATTACGCAATCACCTTCTTCTTTTATCGTTCCGAATTCATGCACGGTCAGGAACGAGTCTTGGCTCGTTCGTCGAGACTTCTTTCGGGATCAGCTAGAACAAGAGGGACACAAGTCTACGCCGGGATACCGTAAAGTTTCGTCTTTATTACCAGGTGACGATGAGGGCGGTTGTTCGTCTAAGGAGGAGGGGGAAAGATGAAGACGGGAGAGGGGGATGATTGATGCAGGCTGGTTATCGGGGACACGGACCGAAGAAGATAGTCGATCCACGGGTCTCATTACCGCGACACGGGATGCTCATATTATCGTCATTTTTATTAAACACCGCTCGTACGTTTTCGTTGGCAACCACGATAAAATCCCACCCAGGTAAACGTTCGATGAAATATTAACCATTCGCGGTCCATTTATTCTCTGCGTTATCCTAATTTGTTTCGAATCGATACTCGCGCCAGGAATTTCATGGATATCCCGAATAAAATGAAAGACGAAAGAAAGCTAACGATCGTTTAGATGTACCATCGAGGCTGAGCCACGCTCGCTTGCCTCGTAATAATTGACTCGGCAATGCGTATAAACCGCAACATGGCCGACGGACGGATAATTAACTAACAATTAGGCTGCACGTAAAGAACCGCCATTGGACTGGGATCATAGGTAAATGATAAACGAACGGCATATGGTTCATTTTCTGTAGGAGTAAAGGTTCGCTCGAGGAAATTGACGATTCATTCGGGGATGCTTGACTTCTGTCGTGACGTGTTCTCCGTTCTTTCCTTTTTCTCTTTCATCCGGCTCTTTCTCTTTCGCCTCCGTTTGCGCTACCAGTTGTCTGTCATCGATGTCAGCCAAGCCAACTCTGGCCGTATATATTTTTCATTATTCGTTGCTCGCGTGGCCGTTCGGCCGCGAAAACACGCCACCACAAGCCGTAACCGCAACTTCCTCGATCTCCTGCCTGCCTTTCCATCGGTCTAATGCCTCTCATTGGTGTTCCACCGATGCGTGATCGGCGAACAGAACTAACGACGGTAAAAGTTAAAAGGATTCGCGATGACTCTTGGAAACGGTAATGATCGCTCGGTCGATGCTTAAATCGATCGACGTATCGCAACCCGCGACAATGAGAATATTCGACATTTTATTTTATCAACGCTTTGACGTCTGCTGTTGCACGGGAAGAGACAAAACAATCGTAAACGATCAACGGAAAATCGTAATGGAATTCCATGCTCGTTTCGAGCGATGCAGATCGAAACGTTTCGTGTACACGATGATTCGTGTAAACTGGTCCGACGAAATTTTGCAGATTCACTTTCGCTCGAGTTTTCCCCGATAATTCAATATAATAGGAGAGGCGGGCGGCTCGCATGGTAATTGGTGTTAACGAACACGCTCTGTCATTCACGACAGCGAAAATGACTGCGGCCGAGTGGAGCGTTTCCGGCTCACCGGCCAACTTCCGCGGCAGAACAATGGGAGCGCTTAACGCACCGGCGAAAGTCGTTAGTCAGTGTTATAACATTCCTCGTCGGTATGCGCGCCATGCTGGCCGAACGCGTTAATCTAATTTTCTGGGCATCGATTAACGCCGCTGCGAACATGGCCACGCGGATAAACGATGAAAAAATGGAAATCTAGTCGATGCGAAACGTTTTCCTCTACGATCGTCGAGGGTTTTTAAATACTTCAAAGTATCTTTATGAAAAGTAATCAAAGGAGATGGCCATCTCCATATCTTAGTCGACCCCCATTGTCCCGGCAAATTTTTACCCCATGGAATCCATAGAATAGGCCGCCAAGATGATCTGTACCAAGTTTTATCCAAATCGATTAATGGGAACATGGTCAAAATGGCGCCCAAAGATTTTAACCAAGTTCCCGTTTCACGATTTTAATGCTCATGGGCTCATTTGAACGGTATTATCGTCTAGTTTAATATATCCGGAAACTAGGATGCCGAAGGTACGATTTCGACCACTCCCCATAAAGCCCCGTGTTAAAATGGTCAACTTTGGGCGCCATTTTGACCATGTTCCCATTAATCGATTTGGATAAAACTTGGTACAGATCATCTTGGCGGCCTATTCTATGGATTCCATGGGGTCGACTAAGGTATGGAGATGGCCATCTCCTTTCGAATGATAATCAGAATTTCATGGGAATCGAACGATCGGGACACCATCTGCCGCGTTTCTTCGCTTTTCCAAATCATCTTCTTCGCGTAGAATCTCTAAAATGATGGAAACAAACATCCGCGCGGCACGGAGCACCACAGGGGTGCCAGCTTCCTGTTACCATCTTCTTCTTTCCACCTCTTGGATCGTGAACAAATTAGAGCTACCGAAAAGCGGTCCTTTTTCATGAATAGCGTGATTCATCATTAAGAAAAAAAAATTCTAAACACGTGTTCGCGTGTGGGTGATCTTGGAAGTGGTCCTGAAAGAAGCCGCGGGCGGTAGAAGAAGAAAAAAAAAAAACAATGTCCCCGAAAATTGAGCGAAATTAGTGAAAATCCTTGTGGTTATATAGAAGCTGTCCGGGTCAGGGTCCAATTATACTATTCCCATTCACGTGGATCCTTCGGACTTGCCCCCTGGCCACGCCGTGTCTCGAAATCTCTTTTTAATGGTCGATTCTCGAATCCGTGTTCCATTCTCTTCACGACTGCGTCACATCCGGCACGATTTACGAGCAAATTAAAAGATCGACACGACCGACGACGCGTTCGTTAACGAGCGACCAGGCGATTCGATGTCGAACATCGGCAAGGTTGTACATGGTTTCGATCCTCGACGATCGATTCCTGTCTTTCAAGAACGACTTCATTTTCCAAGAAAGATTCTAAACACTTTTTATTACGAACTGACAAATACATTTTGAGTGTAGGTAATAGGAGAAAATCCATTAGACGTCGATTACATAGGGAAACGAACGTATCGAATGGTAAATGTTAGGTGGCGAAACGACGCGTTTAAAAAACCATTTGCGGTCCAACGGGTCTGTGATTTTAGTCGATAAATTAACGGGCCCTACTATCGGTAATTACCTCGAATTCTGTGGCGAGCATTCTCCACTTTACCAATTTTCTCGATTACCGGCATGAAAAGCCCCTTAAGTGACCGCCTGTCCAAGCTAACCGGAAGGTTCTCTCTCGTCCGGCGACCCTTGCTTTATTATCCTCCATTTTCCCTGACGGAAGTTCAGACTTTATAATGTAAAAATAGCATTCTCGATTGAAAATCCAGTGAAATTTTAAACGTTGACATAGGTAGAACAAAGGCAAGAACAAAAAAAGAAAGGATATCAAGCGCTATAAATCCGTGAAAATCGAATTAACCGTACGCAATTAGGAATAACAAATGCGGCGGTGGGCGTTAATGAGCGTCACCGGAAGCGTGCGCGTACACGCGAAGAAGGGGAAGTCCGGGGAGAAGAGCGGGGTTCGTGTGCGACAGAAAGAGAAAGGGGGAGATAGAGAAAGCAAGAGAGTACCTCCTGCGGTTGGCTCTCAGCTTCCGGTTCGCTTGGGGGCTCACCGCGAAGGGGACAGAATGCACCGGTGGTGCAGCTCGCGATAAAATCGTCTAATTGTTTCGCTAAGCGTATGTGAATGTCCAACACGCGTTCGCTTGTTCCTTTCGTGCGTCACGTACAACGTATTTTTCCTCTGCCACGCCGCTTCTTTTTTCCATTTTTTTTTTTTCCGCCTTCCAAACCACCCCACCCTTCCCCTTCCTGGACAGAGGTTAACCCTTTGCCAACAAAAGAATCGTATCGCCAGCTACTGACCGACGCGAATGTAAATCGGCTACGGGAAATCAGTTTATGCTGATGTTTCTCGCACTCGCTACTAGATGGAACGTTTGCAATAGGTTGCTCAAATTGTACCCCTTAAGAAAAAACTCGTATAAATGTTAGGATTTATCAATTAAAGAATTATATGTGTTATTCAAAACTTGTGTGAACATTGATATTATTTATTATAATAAAATTCAATACTCTGAATGATTATACATAAAATAAACTAAATATTGAAAAACTTGTAGCGGTACCACCTGTAAGCAACAATAATAATTAAAGCCTGTATTCTTTTGTTAACTCCAGCGCATAGATCATGCACCCATGCTTTACATTTCAAGCATCGTTGTCGTCGCATTAAATTGAAAATTCAAAAGGTACGACTTAAGCAACCCTACCTCTTCAACTTCTAACAAACATGTTCTCTTTCTGTTTCAGGAACGATTTCACGGAATGTCACGGACGAAGGGCTAATCGTGTTGCTAACTACGTTATACACGGTGGTTCGACCGGACCATACCCGCATGAGTATCGTGACAACGGTGAGTCGTTTTCTGATAACATCATTGCCTCGTGCCAACCGATCGCGCTTAGATTTTCGCTTAGATTGCTTTGGCTATTAGACGACGACCTTCGAGTCCTTTTCACCGTGTGATTGCTGTTTTATTTCGAACCGAATCAAGGACGACGCTTTCATGATTCTCCGTTCGAGAAAGCGTCCAGGTTACTAAACAAATTCAACGGAAATGTAGCACCGGTGCTCGATTCGAAGAGTAGATAGCGAAAATTTGCATAATCGAACGAGCAATTTCACCCTTGCGATCATGAATTTGTGTTCATTGGAATTTTCTTCTAATTTATTCGTGTTTTGTTGAAACTTGTTTGAAATACAGTGGTTTAAGCTAGTGGTTGAATAAAGTAATAAAGCCTGTCTGGTGAGGATAAACTCGCGGCCAATTACGAGCGTCTCACGACGTTAGAATATAAAAGAGCGACACGCGGAAAGAGCGAATTGCTCGTCGACGAAAGCGCGACGCGACGCTTTGAATCCTAAATCGGTCGTCTGAAGCTTCGACGGCATTAAAGTCGCGACCGCGAACAATCAACGCGTTTCCGTCGCCTTTGAGGGAAACAGAGCTGTTAATATCGAGCCGCTTTGAGCTTGGAGATGCTCGTCGACATGAATTTTAAGCGAATTCCCGGCGACCTGCTGTCTCGCGGATGAACCGTTCCACCAATCGCGACAAACTAATTTTCTATTCAAAGTTTCAACATCTCTTTGTTTATATATCCCGAGTACATTCATTTTGTGTGAAGAAAATGGATAGAACCTTTTGACTTTTAACCTTAAAGGTTCGTGATAATGAACATTAATTTTATAATAATAATTTCTATTGAATATTCAAGGAAATTTCGCTCGGAGATCCTTGATGGCGCTTAGAAATCGTGTGAAAAGTTATCGCGTGACCCAGCCGCGACCAATGATCGACTCATTAAGAACGAACAATGACGAACTGACCCGTAACACAAGGACTACGTTAGATGATTTCGCAAGAAAGAAAGAAAGATTGAGCTAGCGTGATGCGGATCCGCCCAGACGACAGATACAGTCCGCAGAAAACTAACAAGGACCAGGAGCCATCGTGACGGGCTTTCATCGAGCGTCGATACCCTTCTCGCACCCTTCTGGTCCTTTCGTGACCGTGAAATTTCACTGAACATAATTTCCTCGAGTGTGAAACTATTTGCTTTCTCGGTGGGGCGCAGCCCGGCAACGATTTGCCGCGCGAAATCGCGTGACGCTTTTAAGGGATATAGCGAAATTGCCTTTGCCTTTCTGATTTTCTAATTGTTTCTTGCTCTCGCGTGACAAACCCTTGAACGTGTTTCTTTATTCTTTGGTTGACACAATTTATTTTAAGAAAAACGTAATGCCTCTGATGGAATATACAATTTGATTTAGTTCGATACGTTTTCTTATGCTTCTGTTTCTCGATAATAATTTCTTTGGTTATTGGTATATTTAATTTAAAAATCCCCCGTGCGTGCAACGATCGCGCCATCAGCTGTCCAAGGTTTCACACCTTTTAACGCCAGAAAAAGGATCTCTGGTGAAACGATCTCCATAATTCGTGCAAATAGAAGACGAACCGCGCGGCTCGGTTTCAATGATCGTAAACGAAACAATTCGCGAGTCATCCACGAAAGTGTCGGACATAGAATTTTTTGAACGCGTGATGCCAGGATCGCGTGACGAGGATCGAAAACAGTTGCGAGGAGAATCGCGTTGCGGTTTCTCCGTCATGTGTTTCGGAAGTTGGTCGTTCATTTTTATGTTTATTTTTCCCCGATCTCTTCGGTTCGTTTGAATGGTCTAGCGAAGGAAATCTGGATGGTGCCCGAAGCGGGAGCGTGCGAGCGGATAGCAGCTGGTCGAGCGGGAGATCACGAAACGCAAAGTGCACGCGGCTGCATAATACGCGTGCGCAACATATGGAGAGGCGGTGAGGTTTGCTCGTGCAACAACAATTCGCGGTTTCTCGATTTTACGTCGAGATTAGCGGCGCACCGTCCTTCCGTTGGACGTGCGTGAGCCTTTTTTCGTAGCTCGTGATCGCATTTCGAACAAAGATGCACCGATGCAAGCGGTGTTTTTTCGACGCTCGTGCAGCCTTGCACCTTTGTACAGTTTCGTTACGAGGCCTTTCATTTCGAAATTTCAACAGATTTTATTTTTAATTCGGATCACGATTCGCGGTGTAACGGTGGGACAAATTAATCGTAAGCGAACACTCGCGCCAAATAGTTATCAATTTCGAACGTACGACAGCGTGCGGTTATCAAACGGAAATCAGGCTACCTGGCGGAAGAGTTCGCGATCGACAAACGCGAAACCCGATAGCCTGATTTCCGGAAACCGACTCTGCGGACCACACCTTACGGGAATCGTCAGAACGTGACTAGTATGGGAACCGAGTTTGGTCAGTCATGATATTCATGGCCTGAGACCACCTCGGGGCCAACACTGCTGGCGACCCGATACCCAGCCAGTTATTTGATCCGAGGACTAGAGATTTGAATATTTCGGAAAGAGTGAGATTCATGTATATTTTATTCCCCGTTTCCCGAAGATGGTAGTACACGCGTGACCGGACGATGCAGGCATCAAAAGGATCTATCCGCGAGGTGAACTTTTGAAGATCTATCGATACCGTGTCGCTCGGGGAACGCCGATACCTTTCTCGAAAATTTCCTCTGGGCACCGGTCATCGCAAAAACGACTCTAATCAAATTTCAATCTTCCATTTTCTCGCTTATTCGTATTCTCTGTAGAGTCACTCCGAAACTTTGCATTTTCCTTCGCCTTTTTAAAGGCTTCCTCCAATTGTACAATTTTACCCTAGAATTCGAGCTTAGACTAATGCTCGAACGGAAATTTCCTTGCAACGTTCTCGTAAACTTGACTAATCGTTCCTCTGTCGTTCCGAAAATACGAAAACCGGAGCGACGATAAGATGGTAAACGTTTTGCATAAGTCGCGTTATCTAACGTCAGCCTACGACCGAGGAGGATCAATCATTTAGCTGGAAAGAAAAGATACGAAACGGTTAAGCGTTTGGTACGATCAACTGTGGTTTTGTTGGAAATGTAAATATCAATAACGACCGCGTTTCGTACGATTAAAAACGAAAGAAACAAATGAACCGTCAAAGTTTCGTTCCGCTCCATTAACAACGATAAACGTCAGAACGGTGAATTTAATGGCGATAGACGGTAGACGAGTGGCATTAACGAAATAACTAACCGCGACGTTTTGCGTGGACAATCAACGTCAGTCAGTCAGACTGGAAGAACGACGGGTTCGAGGTAGACCGGAAGTCGAGCACCAGGCGAACGAGGTATATTCGTTCGGGTACTCTTTCGAAAAGGGGTGGTTACCCTATCCGCCAACGACCAGCCTCGATTTACGAGCGGTTGGAAAGAGTTGAAAGCTCGTGATTTAGGGTGTTTCGCGTTGATTCTCGGATTCATCGGCAGACGATGATGGTTTTTCAAAAGATTACACGGCAAAGGGTTAACGAGGATTTTAGAAGGGCAGACAGGTTTGTTGCCGATAGCAACGTTCACCCGTCACCACCCTCGTTCCAGCTCGTATCCAATATTCGACAGGGAGTCGGTGAGGTGTTACGGTAATACACGATCGAGGAATGCCATTTGCCGGTGCTTGATTTATGCATTACAGAATATAGAGACACGCGTTGTCCCCGTTGGGGATTCGAACAGCGGTGCCGTGGAGCGAGGAACGTGAGTATTATTCAAAGTGTTGCTCATTTGGACACGTGGACAGAGGACGGTGTAAATCGGGCTTTGACCGTACTCAACGACACGTGACGACACGTGGCAACGCGTTTCGTGGCTCGCGCGTTTCGACGCTCCTACTTTGTTACGAATGTTTACAAGCTGCTTGGAAATCTCGCTAAGAAACTCCGATTTTTCAAACGAACAAAGGAAACGGTAAATAATCCCCTAACGCGAACGCGAGTCGTTTCTTTCATTGCACCCTGAAATTTTTCCTCGGACATAGGAAAAGAGTTTTATGTTTGAAAAAAAATCCTGCCTCGAGAGGGAATTACCTTCGTCGCGGCTTTATAAAGCAGCGTATTACTCGAATAAAAGTGACTCTGCTGTCTTCGCTAGGAAATCCGAAATCAGCTCCGGCAAAGTTACTATTAGTTGGAAAAAGCGACTGGAATTTATTTAAAAAGTCAGACGAGCTTTTCAGACGATTCTTTACGAGCCATGCAACCGCTTTCATGGAACGGAGTTTCACGCGTCTCGAAGAGAATGGATGCGCGTAAAACCGTCTGAGGAGAGGGTAAGTCAGGAAGACCGGAATGATGTAGGAGGATGGATTGACGAAAGGGTGTACAGAGCAGTTAAGTAGCAGTCGAACGTCGAGTGTTAACTGTCGGACGGTTTACGAGGCTATTCGAAGCTCTTATTCGTTAAGTGCGAACACGATGACACGAAGAGGAGTCGTAGGGTGCAACAAACCGTCTCGACTAGGGGGTTGTAAGAGACAATCTGGTAAAACGTTGACTTTAAAAACGAACAGGAAATCTAATCCATTTCGCGACTAGCTTTTATACGAGTGCTCTCGAGGTTAGTCAGCGTTAATGAGAATGCCTCGAAGCGAACTCGATCCACGAACGAATCGGTGCGGAATAGAAAACGATCGAGTTTACGATGGAACGCGGAAAAGAGGAGCTGCTGGACATTCCAGAGATTTTCTCTGATGGCTCCGTGCAACTCGACTCCTCCTCGTTACTCGACCGAATCGAATAGCTCTTTCGTTTACTAAAACTGTGTCACCGACGAGTTTGCCTTCAAAGCCCTCTGCATCGACTTTATCCAGGTTCGCGGGTACAAAGTAATCTGGTTAGTAGAACCCTTTGGAAACTGAAATGATAGAACTCGGAATAAAATTCAAGTTTATCTCGACACCCTCGCGTCACGAGAGAAAAGGGTCGAACAAGTTAGC